ACGTCAAGTAGTACGGAATTATGGGATAACCCTGGTACGAGAAAACACACTTTATAATCGGAAATTATCTCAGGATAATAGAAAAAAAAAATTTAATCCAAACATTTTTAATGCATTTGACAAGGAAAGTGAATCATTTCTCTAATACATCATACCCTCCAGATATCCATATGAATAGAAGCAAATAAATCCGAATGTTTAATGAAACTTGGAAGATATTTTGCTATACTTTATCATTATCACTATCTAAATGCCTAATACAATTTCAAATTTATATGAAATATTAAAATGTGCATTAAATTATAATTAAAGCTTGACATGCGTTTAATTAAACTTTACCTCGTCCAGTTAAACATATAAAAATGAAACTACCAAGTACTTTGAACAACAACGCACGTCGAAGTAACTCATTGCCGAGGGGTGTGTACAAACAATTGAACACTAAAGGGTCGTAATTTAAAAGCAGCTTAATTCAGGTGTTGAACAATTTTTTCTTTCCCTATAGTTTACTTTCGTTATTACTGTTTGTGCTGAGAAATTTCGTTCACCTCAATTCACGAGCATTCTTTTAAGCAAACCTGGACGCTACTTTACGGTCTTATACTGTTTAAAGTATTCGCGGACAGCGTAGGCGTAACTGCCAGAGTTCATAGAGGAATGACAGGATAAACTGCAATCATTTAATTATACGCTGACTCTACAGAACTTGCAAGTTTCACTGGAATTAAAGGGTAACTGATAGTTGACATTTTTCTTTAGGAGGATATCAGTCGGCAGACCCGTGGAACTCTTTAAATTTTTTAACGATAGTCTAATGGCATTCCGGTGTTTACGGTACATTTGATGATAGTGTAAACGAGTTTAAACGAATACACTTATTTTTGCACGTGAGGGATTAATGTATATTATAACTCTAACTGGTGCATATCGTTCGTCATGTACAGTTAATGTTACCGTATCGTAGGTGCGGTACTACAAATATATTTTATCGGTGACCGCATGCATATCCGATGGGCACGCCACAAATATGGACATCATATGTTTTTGATAATAATAATAAAATTATACTGGCTTTGAAAAATATATCTATTTTCAACATTAGTATCCTACTTCTATTTCTACCTTTAATTCTTATCCGACTGATACGTAGCTTAAAGACATGCTAATTACTTGACCTTGATGCTGTTACCACTTTTACACTATTTTCTTACTACATGTCACTTCGGGATCCGATTGGCGGGACAACTGTTATTTCTTTGTAATAACATCGGATTACTATAATTTTGTATTATACAGTATTCCCACTTTCTGAGAATTAGTTTATCACGGAACTGATTGCTACAATATCAATTTTATCGTTGGCTTGGATAAATATTTTTAAGACATTTTAAATGATTTGACACCTTTTACTATGTCCAGCCATTAAAAAATGCAATAAGAGAAATAACGAGGTAAACTTTAAGCTTCGTTACCAAACTGTTAGTTCTATATATATATATGTGCAAAATTATTAAATTTAATCAATCACAAGTGTTGGAGGTGCTTAGGATAATAAGTGACAACTAAAAAATTTAAGTCAAGATTTCTTATTTTAAAAAATCAATATTCGACAACGTGATGAAATATATTAGGTTTTCTTTTTAAATAAAAATTAAATCTCAAATTTTATCTAGATCATAACATAATCGTTAAATGACACAAATGGCTTCGGCGACACATAAAGTCACTTAATATCATCTACTGGCAAGTAGAAAACGTATGGGAATCCAAGAAACAATAAGGAGTCTGCATGTTTGCAATAAGAAACTATAATGGTATCTCCAATAAGTCCAAGAACCCTTATCAAATAATAACGCTAGTGTAAAGCAACAAATTCTGCTTACCGAATTTCTGCGAACATTTTAACGATGACAATTAATCCAAAAAGCGTTAAGTCGTTGAAAACGTATAGAACGTTCAGAAATAAGAAAATTGAATTAATGACAGATTAACGCGACCAGAACTTGTCTGATTGTGAGACTGGAGCTGCAGACGAAACGTACTGACTGAGCCTGACGGGCCCAATACAGGACCCTTATACCGTCAAATACGATCCAAGATGCCCCTCCACGTTCGCACACACTACCACCGATACTACCAAACCTATTACCGAAGCATCCATAAATGAGCTACAGTCTCCTTGAAGCTCACGTTTTTCGGATGTAATTCCGAAAAGCGCATCCCTCCGAAAAGTATGGTTTTTTGTATTCTCACGTACTTTGACGTGCTGATGACGAATATAATAGTGAAAATACCCGCAAAATTACTTTAAAAAATAAATTGCTATTTTTCAAGAAAGAAAAGTTATTAGTAAAAATTGTAGCTTGTAAAAGATTACAACTTTTATATCCTATGCATTTTTATTATAAAACTATTATTTTTCGAGAGAAATGAGATAATGTTCAGAGAAACAAACATTCGTAGAAAATAATTATTGTAATAAAGAATAATTGTGATTAATAGACTTTGTTGCTATATTATTTCATTGGTTTCAGTACGTAATTACTTAATTACGCACTTTACCATGGGAAAGTTGAAATTCGGATTTTAAAGTGCATTCTTTTTCCTTTTCGTATCTTTTTTGCTTTTTGTATTTTTTATTTTAGATATTTCTTACTTCTTTTATTTTTGAATTAAAAAATATGTTTTTTTATCATTTATATATTTTTGTCGTCACTAATGTTTTTTTGTAACTTTTCATATCAATTTTATAGATATCCTGTAACTTAAACTAAAAATTTAGTTACGCTTTCCGGGATTCTGTAGGTTCTTTAGGTAGGTTAGTTTTTCGCTCATTTAAAATTATCTCATTTTTCTACAAAAATAATAGTTTTATAATAAAAATGCATAGGGCCCATAAGATGTAATTTTTTACAACATACAATTTTTACTTAAAATTTTTTTCTCTAAGATCAATATTTATTGAAAAAATATCATAAACATATTTTTTTTTTCTTTTGCAGGTATCTTTACTATTATATTCGTCATCAGCATATTTTCGGAGGTATGCGCTTTTCGGAACTTTCTCCCGTTTTTGTTTCCTGTTTGGTGGGACGGTACGATAATGAATAAAGAATTCTCAACGACTGATTTACCGAACGTCATTCGAGCAAGCGACATTTTATAAAAATAACACACATATGAGGATTGTTAAAAAAAGATTATGAATATGATAAAAGAAGGGATATAAATAAAAAAAAAAAATTATTTTTCTGAATGACTTTTATATTAAAAAATTATAATTAAAAAGAATGTTTTTTTTTTCTTGTGACATATATATATATATATATATTCTTTTAGTGTGTTCTTTAAAACCGAACTATTTATGCATAATAACTTATATCAGTAGCAGCCTAGATAGTTATTGTATTTCTACGAGAATAAGGTGGAAATTTGTGCAGCTTATTATAAAAAGTGCCCGTTTGTGATGGGGATCTGTGATATAAATAGTAACATGCTAACGTGGCTTTGAAATTAACAGATCTACTAGAGCAGTGATCGGGAAACTCATTAGTCAAAAGAGCCAAATATCAGCAGTACAACGATTAAGCATTTGTGGCAGAGCCGCATTCAAGAGGCCAAAGAGCCGCATGCGGCCCGCGAGCCGCGATTTACAGATCACTGCACGAGAGTATGACACTATAATGTTTCAATAAACTTAGTATGACTCATGAAATACCCCTTCCCTCCCCCTTCTAAATGGTATCAGTAAGTTAAAGAACAATATAAATTGTTCATGACATCAAGTTAACTTTACAAGCATTCGACACTGGTCTGAGAATTATGATAGTAGAAAAAGCACATACGTATTGAACGCCAGTGCATTGTTATACCTGCGTGTCATATGAGGTGAGATTTTGTCTGAGAGAAAATTCAAAAGTCAACTCGTCGTTCTTGTCCTCCATAAACGCGCGGAGACTGGGCATCACGAAAAATACATATGATTAACTATCAAGGGTAGAAAATGAATTTCTTGTAAAGCTATTCATCTGCCAATTCTCCATAAGAGGCTTTCCTAAGTTCAAAGCCCTGAACTAACCCATCTTCCCACAACAGTTTTTGCCCATCGATCTTACCAGAGCGAGAGGAGACGTTATGCATAAATACCGTGAAGCCTGTCTGCACACAACTACACATTGCGTACGAGCCCCCCCCCCCTCATTCATACACATTGGAAGGTTCCCAGAAAGATCAGCCGATGGCTTCCCATAGATTGTATATATTATGTTCTACAAGGGGTCGAGAGTAGAGTAGATATCTTGAAGAGTAGCCACTTTAAAGCACCGCCGATAGATGGTGATAGGGTGGAAGAGAACGAGAGTTTAGTAGAGAAGACAATAAGAAAAGAGAGTTATAGAAAATGATAGAGTACGGAACATAGGCAAGAAAAAAAGAATGAGATACAGGCAAAGTTAAGAAAATATGATGTGTAGTAAAAGAGGCTTAAAGGTAAGGTGTCAAGAATCTCGGACGAGTAGGGGATTTGTAAGGAATTAGTGTCGCATGCGACAAGTTTTGGAAGGGATATCGATGAGCTAATAAAATTATTGAATTATGAAAGTCCGTATACTGATATGGAATGAGTGCGTAAAGACTTATAAGATGAATGACTGCGGGTATCAGTACGTTGGGTAGTAATACAGAAGGGCTGAGATCAGCCGCAGTGGGCGGTGGTGCACTGGCCATTACTAGCAGACTGTTCCTGGACGAGAGCCGCTATGCTAAAAGCTAATGAGCACTTGACAATATGAACCTTTATGTTTACATTTTAGATCATGGCATTCCCATAGAATATTAAATTCCTTTTTTTTTTACTAATTGCACTAGATACGCGATTAATCAGATAGTACGCGATCTTCCATAGGAGATTCTTTTACAGACGGATCGTACAATCAAGACGAACATGTAGGTGCGGCTTGCTCGTACAAAAACGGACCTTGACTCCTGCAATACGAACGTACCTATGATGCTCGACAGACTTTCTTATTCGCACGAAGCTTTCTCAATCTTGCGGCACCGTCGGCATGAAGAGTTTAACACAGAATTCCGAACTTAACGTGATTTTTCCACTTTTCTGCCAGTGCCCGTCGCACGCCAGCCGAGTCCGCCATCTTGGGGCAACTGCCAAATCTCTCCAGGCTCACCAACCCTTTGCATTATTAAGTCCCCAGAGAATCCCTGGATTCTTATCTCGAAGTCCTGCGATATTCGTGGAAATTTCAGAAGCATTTGCACTGCTTTTTTTTTGCTGCGAATCTCACTGCCATTGCGCGAAAGTGCACATTGCACTTATATGTTGAGAATCCTGCTAGAATTCCCCTAGGGGCGTATTTTATTTAGTTTAGTTTCGTATCTTGTACATTGTCCGTATTGTTATTTGTTACATACTGAACTTGTCAGAATATTTAAATAAATCATTTGACTTATTTTCACTTATTTTCAATCCTAAAAATTATTTAAATACATTATCATTTGTGTTACATTTATACAAAATTATTAATGTTACTGCTTCCTGAAGATAAATGCAATGTACGAATTACATTATATATATTCTAGTAAACAATTTTACATGTTACACATTACTGATAGTATTTTTATGTGACAATTATATTGAAAAAAAAAATTCAACAGTTTCTTGTGTTGGTAAAAAAATTAAACCAGTCATATTGATTAATCTATATACAGAGATATCAACTTCTACACTATAATGTGAATTATTTAATTGAGTACGTTTACACGCCGGTCTTAAACCGGTTTGGTTAATACCGATCTAAAGGAATTTGACCAATCCCAAATATTCCTTACAAGTAGAAATTTCTATTATTTGTCTATTGTTTTGGATCATTAGTAACTAAACCGGTTTAAGATCGCTGTGTAAACTTAGTCAATAACTTACTAGGATCTTCATAAATTTCAGATTTTCTAATACTTAATAATACTTCTTGATAACAGTATCTCGAATTTTGCCCGCGGTCGAATGTCATTGGAGCACAACCTAGTGAAGTTTCGCCGTGTGGCACCACTGTTACCTTCGTCCCACACTGATGGCAAAGCGCCACGATTCATTTTTACCTTTACGACTTGCACTCTTGTTTTGACATTGAAAATATACCTTTAAATTTGAATGCGAATCATTAAACTGTGCCAAATATCCTTGTTTCGGAAACTTTTGAATTATTTAACTCTTAGATCAATTGGTCATTGCGATATATCAAGTGCTCTAAAAGGTAGGCAACACGTATACTATAAGCATTGACAATTGGAAAATACTCCTTACTTAATACTAAATACCAATCACGTTTAATGTTCGTAAATTTAAAATATTCCTATTGCAAAAAGTGACTCCTCGATCTGCCTTGAACTTAACATTTTTTGCATGTCTATCCTCAGCTCATACATCTCTGATGTCAGCCAGAGATCACATAAATATGCACATAGGTAATGTAGCTTGAAAAGTAATCAAATATTGAGAAAAATATATTAGCGGAATTTACATGCTCGGCTGTGGTCTCGACATAATTGGAATTTCTCCGAACAAAAATTCGAATGCCAGTGTCCTATTGAAATATTCTAGTTAGGACTGTTGTTACTTTCATATTCAATTTATATAATAATGACATGTCTCATTTAGCTTTCAAGCTGATTTTGAATAATATAACATATTTCAGATAGCAAAATGATATTCTTAGTATGTACTGAGAATGTGATTACGCATATACTGAGCATATACAAGATATACTCGAGATACTTTAGGCATAGTACATTCTGAAGGTATCTTCTGATAGATCCAGAATGTGTACAGCATCCCAGTCTCCGCCTAACTTGTAACAATGTCAAAATATTTTACGGGATATATGTATTTGCATAAGCTAGCCCTTCATTTTCAATAATTCCAATAATTCTACATTTACCTCCGTCAGAGGACTAACACTGGATTGAGGTTGAGTAATTTGAACATACTGTCCATGTTCTAGTTGTATCAGAGAATACTTTCAGAGGGTAGTGAGCAATAATTTAAAACGTACATATGAATATTCTCTGCATATTCTCAGAATGTATATGTACTGGGAACTACTGAAAATGTTTAGCACTTATTTCGAATACTGGAGATAAAATATTCTTGATGGGTAATAAGTACTTATAAATAATGTTCTATTCATGTTTTTGCATCTCGTGAAAAAACTATAATACTATATATGCTAACTGCGTATTTCATTTGATTACGATGGCATTTATCAACTCCTTAAATAATATAAAAAGTGTAGGTATATCTAACCAATTTAATGACTATGTTTTCCCGCGCAGAATTCAGGCAAATGTAACCAACTGCGTGTAAGATTAAGGAATAAAAATACACGGAACGTAAAAGGCAATTCCTGTCTAAGTACCGTGTATGTGATAATATAAATATTAAACCTCTTCGGTGGCATTGACGCAACACTACACGGAATCAAATCATACCCTGTGTAGCATTGACGCAATAGTGCGTCCATCGTTTTTTTCTTTTTCTTGCTATCTTTGAGCACTATTAGTCAAATTCTCCATGCTAACGAAGGGGTTAAACGTCCAGTCCTTGGTAAACGATGGAGCTCAGTAGAATCAAAGAATAGCATAAACTTTATTCGTTGATTTAAATCCTGCGCGTCAATCAATTTAAAGTTGGAAGCACGTATATACCACCTTGCATTCATTATAATGGACAAAAAAATAAAAACATTAAAAGGACATTCCAACGATGTTGTATTTCGTTATCTTTAAAAACATCTAAGTAAAACATTTTTTAATCGAATATCCATAAATCATTGCAGACGTAATTCGGATGTCGTTCGGGTGTTGTGCGTTGTGTAATTAATTATACTATAGTTCATCTCGGCATAAGTGATGTCACATAGACTTGCAGTAAACATTAGAGTACTGTCGTTTCGTCATAATTACCCATTATCTCGGTATTCATGATTCAGTTTCTTTGCGCATCGTTCATCCTAGAAGCTCATTCTTAAATCTCACTACAGGTAGCTTATCGCTGCATACACCAGACACACAGTATCTATGCTTATTACAATAAGATTTATTAGCTTGTGAAATGATTTTTTGTAGTTGTAAATTTCCTCAATGATAAATAGTTTACCGGTACTTTTTTTACAATTAACGTTATTAGGTACCCTGTTTATATAAATAATCGTCGCTATAAGACGTTTTCAAAACAACAGACCTTCAGTACACCGTATCACTCCTTACGTTCTATCAGTACTTCCGTGTTCGATACGTACTTCGTAGTGGACAATTATTCAGCAATAATCGTTCTCGTTTGGACAGGAAGTACCTCATTGACTCTATATATAGATACAGTCATCGTCAAAGAATAGATTCCATTAAAAGAGGTTTATAAATCATTAAGATGATACTTCCTTTGCATCCAGTCGCCATTATTGTTGCTAACATAAGGAAACAAAATCTGCAAATAGATATAATGAATGCCAAGGTCAACGTGAAAGCCTTATATAGACTGAGAAAGCGAATTCTCAAATTTTCGCAATGTCAAATAGGCTTGTTCGATCATAACTTAACTGCACAGTTTTAAACAAGGTAAATGCATTTTTATAGCCTTGTCATTCCTTTATTTGAGGGAATGTGACATTCTACGCTTGCCGATAGGTCATTTTATTTGATCGCAGTATTACTCTATGACTATCGTAGTGTTGCTGTTCCACGAATTTCTACTTCTAAATATATCGATATATGTAGTAGCCTCTTCTGACGTTGGGAAGTATTAGTTATGATTTTTGTCGATCTTAAAATACTTTATTGTATGTCTTATGAAATAAACATTAGTCTTTGTTAAATATAAGTGAAACATAATTTAAAAGTTTTCCTTAACGACATATTAGCACTCAAGTTATGCATGGCACATATAAATGTTCAGGAAGTGTCATTTGGATATTATTTTTAATTATATTTACGATTGTTATATGAATATGTATTTCTTTTTATTTAATATAAAACTAATAATTTGGCGTGCTATTTTCGAACAGGAAAATTCATTTCATTATTTTTAATAATTCCCACTTTATTACCAATATGAAACTGCCGAATTTTGTATGCATGAAAATCATTTAAAAATAATGATCATACTTGAAATTAATAATAATATAATATTATATTTTAAATGATACACGTGAATATTAGTATAGATGGGTAATGTAGAATTGATGGAAAAATATTTGAATACTTAAGAAAATAGTTCAAGTCAATGTTGTCCAAATACATATCTTTGGAGGCTTTGAGAACGTACAAAGACAAAGAGTCTGTTGTCTACAAGAAATATATTCACGGTTTCTTGAAATCAGCCGTTAAAAATATTAAAGAATCTTTTGAAATACACATAATCGATGCGTCCACAGGATGAATAAATGTTAATATAAAAATACGATATTTCATAAAACAAAGTTTCAAGTTCCAACTGTGCTTTCAATAATGCTTTTGAAATATTTCATTATTCCACGAAATCATCACGAGGAATTCGCCGACGGCAGCTATTTATGCAAGTCTTTCATCAACTCGACTACACCGCGCATCGTCGACATTCTGGGGCATCATTTGGAAGTCAGAAGTCAGGATTTTACTAGTTCTTCCAATAAGTACTAATACAAGATTATGACACCATCATCCATAAAGGAGTTAATGACTGACAGCTGCGTCCTTTTAACTGGTGTCACTGGATTCGTCGGTGGTTCCTTGTTGGAACGGATATTGTGTCTTACACCAGGACCGGAAAAGATATTTGTACTCGTGCGAAAGAAACAGGGCGTAGATCCTCAGGATCGACTCAAAACCATTCTTTCGTCTCCGGTGAGTGAAAATTATTATATCAACTTCCTGAAAATAGTATATCAACGTCCCAGACAACACCTACCGTGTCCAAAAGTCGTTGTAAAGAAGTTTAATGCGACAGAGTTCGCCTTTTGGGTATCTTAAAGACGACTAGGCTTTGTGTGCTGTCTGGGATGGTGTACTCCCTGATGGGCCGTTCTAACACTTATCTTGTTCATATTATTAAGAAGTTAGAAAAAAAAAGAAAATAAATTAAAAATGTTTTAGTACAAAGTTCAAAACTTTTTCTTCATTTCATTATGTAATGCAAACAGATGTTGTATTTAACCAGTTTTTTTTTTACTTAGCTACCGATTTTAAAAGGTTTTTGTGCCGAGAATATTATTATTATCGTCATATTCTTTGACGTACATTGAACGAAACCCAATGTTTATCTTCACGCGTTTAACTTCGATGGCGATAATTAATTCATTTTCATGACGTTGATGCCATTCATTTCGCATATACGTATTTCGAATTTCTATTTGAAATTTTTGAGTTATTTTTCTATGCGTAAGTGGTCTTCGTAATATTTATCGTAAATGCGTCACAGTACGTATCTTGTAAAATGATTTGCGTATTCCTGTCTACCAAGATTCCTCATTCCATCTTGCAAAAAAGCGGAATGTTATTTGACGATAGAATACACTTAAAAATTGTAGAGAACATAAGGTTAAATTTTTATAATTATACAAATATGTAATATTGTTCCGACGACGGCGGAATTCCGTTTAGCTATTTTCAGGTGTCCATCCAGACAAATTGCAGAGGGTTCAGGTAATTCCAGGTGATATTACTCAGGATGGCCTTGGATTATCTAGCTCGGATAGTAATTTACTCATTTCGAAATGCACCCACGTTTTCCACGTGGCGGCGTTCATTTCCTTTGCGGCCCAACTCGATCTCGCCATCAGGATCAACCTTCTGGGATCACGTCAGGTATTACACCTGGCTAAACGAATGATAAATATCCAGGCCATGGTCTATGTTTCTACTGCATATGCCAACTGCACTAAAGAAAATACAGTGCTCGAGGAAAAGCTATACCCAACGGCTATAGATCCTGTGAAATTTATAGAGATGGTTTGTTTTATTTGTATATGAATCAATAAGCGAAATATAAAATATTATAACTAGCACAGTGATGGGATAATTGTATATGTGTATAATTGTGTATAATTGTATATGGGACATTTCATCTGTTTTAGGTCAAAAACTTATCTTCCGTTGAAATTCAAAAAATGTCAGCTGAATTAATGGGAAATCATCCGAACACGTATACCTTGACAAAACAGATGGCGGAGAATTTATTGATTGCGGAGAAGGAACATGTACCCTTATCAATAGTAAGGCCCAGTATTGTTTTAAATACTTGGAAGACCCCGTTTCCAGGTTGGGTTGATAACGTGCACAATGGTGCTTGCGCATTTATTGCGGGCGTAACGAAAGGTCTCTTCCGCACGTAAGTAACCGTCGGAAATTTTTCTGCACTTAAGGGCACAGGAATTTATATATATTAGATTACCACTTTGATAGATTCCAAGCCAATCCCGATGCCATCCAAGATGTTATACCAGCTGATATGGTTGTATCTACCATTTTGGCCTCTGCACTTCACGCAGCGGTACATCCGAGAGATTTAAATATATTTCATTGTACATCAAGTGCCGTTAATTCGACAACTTGGGGTAGATATTGCGAAAGAGTTGTTACAGCATGCAGAAACCATCCTTGCGAAGATGCTGTATGGTATCCCGCAGCTAGACCAAGAACCAATCATCTACGAAATGTCATTGTTTTATACATGTTCCAAATTTTACCAGCAATTATTTTGGATTTCGTAATGCAGCGTTTTGGACGTAAAACTCCGTAAGATTATTTTATTTATCATTTATTTATTGTCTCTCGTAACTAAAGTATCGTGTAATCCTATAATAATTATTTATTATTTTAACACTAGATTACTTGAGATTCAGTATAGATACTTCAAAGGTACAAAGTACACTTCGTATTTTACAAACAGCCAATGGTACTTTGGCCGGGACAACGCGTCAGCACTTTTGAATATTTTACCAGCTGATGAGCTGGAAGAACATCCCATGGATCCTAAGGCTATTGAATGGGACTCGTATTTTGAGAACTGTGTTATTGGAATGCGACGTTATTTTTTTAAAGATTCGGAAATGACGACAAAGAAAGCGCTGCGTCAAATGAAACGGTAATTTTTATTTTTAACGGAATTTATGAAAAAGTGGTAAAGGGATACCGGATATTTTACGTTGCTAATGATTCATATATGTTCTTCTTAAATTGCAGTTTGAAGATAATTTCTGCTGTGACGCCATTTTTAAGTTTCTTGCTCTTTTGGGGCCTAATCTCCCTCATGGGACTTTCTTCGATTACGGCGGCCTGTTTTGGTGGCGCTTTAGTATTATTTTTAATTTGGTTATAAGAATTTTGTTATCTGTTGAGCCATTATACGTACACACGAGCCTCGCGATTCAATGTTAATTATTTAATTATAGATTAGTACATGATTTAAATTACTTTTTATCTACGTCATGTGAAAAACGCTTTTTTGCAATTTTAATCCTCATAAAAGTATAAATATCTTTTCACAAGTACTAACGAAATTCAAATTTTAACATGACCGGAGTTTAAGTTTTTTCTCTTAAATTAATTCACGTGCGTATATGTGTACGAGTACAGAGTAAGAAAATCGTTTAGATACATGATGATGTTCTTTTCGCGGATAAAATCCTGTTATGACTATATTCTTCATTTTACTTTTTTAGCATATCAAAAAATAGACTGTCTAACAAGGCATAGTTGATTTTTTATTCATGTAGTGATTTTTAGTTATTATAACATAATTTCTTTATCCGAAATCTCTTTAATCCTTTGACTGCGGAGCATTCAGAAATGTTTTGATCAAAAGGAATCACCCACATAATTTTTATTTTATTTATTTTATTAAGTTTGATTAAGTACAAAAGTAGATCGTTACAGTTAACATATAAACAAAAATTTAATAATTTATTTCTGGTATTTGCAACAAATTACGGCGTCTATAGGCATTGTTCGCAATTAAGGGGTTAAATCTAATACATACTTGATTACATCGATTAAATATAAAACATTGACAAAGTCACATAGAGCAGATCAAAGAGTCCAATGGTCAATTTCCACCGCAAAGTCAAACAGCACTTCTCAATTTCTTAACATTTAGCTAACCGCGCGCGCACTGACTTACTTTAAAGTGGGAAGATCTACCCATTCGGTTGGCTAAGTGTTAAGTATCCTAAATTACATTAACCTCGTATTTGAGGAAAAAATCTGTTTAATCAATAGACAAAATTGATTTACGCCAGTTTCTCTTGAACTGACATTAATTAAATCTCTACAATTCCGATACAGCACAAATGTATTTTGCAGACAGAAAAATGGTACATTTTGCATTTCTTTTAAAGGTCAATAACGTCTGATTTTTATCCTTGTAGTGTAGTCTATTGCGTGGATAATGATTTCTAAATATGTGCGTAACGGGTCGTATCCATGAAAATACTTCTACACTCAAATATATGTCAATCCGCCAAACTTAGTAGTTAATCACATTGTACATAGTCTGTTAGATATGTTCAAAGTTAGAACCGTCAGTTTTCTATTCCCATACACCGAAGTATGTCCGGTTATCTAGTCTTAGGCGCCGGTAATAAAAAAATTGCGTACTATACTCTTTCAGTGACTCTCATCAGCTACATAGTCAATAAAACAAATAATAAACTCATATCCAACTCGTACAAAAATGACAAACTGTTACTAATTTTTACTCGTCATTATTATAGTACATATAACTGTTTGTCATATAGTGTTTGTAGATTTATAGCAATTTTTGTAAGTACTAGATACACAGTTAATAACGTTTGAGAACCCATTTTGTCATCCTTTCTTTTAAGTTTTCTCTCTTGAATCTACATACTTGGTTGATACTTAGCGCTGTAGAGTTGATCAGAGTTAACAAGACGCTTCTGCGTTCTTGGCAGCTCCTAGCTCTTATCCATCTCCAAAGCCTGAGGCAAACACATTCGAGATTTGACGCCGGACGGTCAGGCTTTTCTTATCTTTGATCGCTCTGCGATTTGCATACATTGAAAAGGTTGTAGAATCTTTTGAAATTGTTAGCCGTTATCTCGTCGGAAAATTGGAACGAGTTATTATAATGGCTGTGCGTGTGACGGATTTTTATCGCGACAAAACCATCTTCATCACCGGAGGAACCGGCTTCCTGGGTATTTGTCTAATTGAGAAACTATTGAGAAGCTGTCCTGATATCAAAAACATTTACTTGCTTATGAGACCAAAAAGGGGCAAGGAGATAGAGCAACGACTGGAAGAACTTACGAAAAATGCGGTATGATTATAGTATTTTGTTTGCTTAATGATCCAGAATTGCTTTCAATTATTTAAAACTTTTATTCTGGTAAAAGTTCCTTGTTCGATGGATGCTCTCATTCTGTTGATCTTGATTCTGCAAATATTCAAGATAATAAAATATTGAAGAACATTCTGTCGGTGCTTAATGTAATAATTATGTGTCATAATTGACGTTCTTTCTTTGCTCTTTAAATTGTTACATATTCCAGTATAAGATTTTTAAAATATTTATTATATTATATAACTAATCGACTCTCCATTTATTCTACAAGAGTTGAAAATAACAGAATGGTTACATTTTGAATAGTAAAAATTTGTGGTATGAATTTAACAACATATATGTATTTTATCAATTTGTTTCTAAATTTTTACTTACTTCCAATATTCCATAGTTTCATTTATTTTATTTCAAATTTCATGTGACCATTAGTAGTAAATTTATTAGATGTAATGCTATTGATATTGTAAATCAATTGATCATACTACATTTTATATAATTTTAGGTGTTTGAGGAACTGAAGAAAGTAAAAGGCGATGAACCATTTAAAAAAGTTATTGCAGTTGCAGGCGATGTTGGAGAGGAAAATTTAGGATTATCGGCTAGCGACAGATTGACTTTGGTAGAAAAAGTCCAGATAGTTTTTCATTCTGCAGCTACTTTGGACTTTGATGCTGATCTTAAACTTACAGTTAATATTAACTTGCTTGGTACACGTCGTGTTGTGCAGCTCTGTCAAGAAATGAGAGATTTCAAGGTAAGCAAGATTTTTTCAGTCATATTATTCTGTGTCCACTGCATGCATAAGTAAGTATATTGACCCATATGGTGACCAGAATATGGTATTTGTCATTCTTTTTTTCTTGAGAGACAGCTTATATCAGCTTATAACAGCTTTTCTTATATATCATTATAAATTTACCTATAGTTTTCTAAACATTTAAATGCTGTATAAACAATTACTACTAATTTTTTAGGTTTACTCTATTCGATTACCTCAAATCATCACATGCATGTCTGATTTAATATATTTTATATACAGTGAATACAATATCTTCTTAAATAGCTTTTATTGCATATGTTCTCTTCAGTACTTTATGTTTCAGGCTTTGGTACATGTTTCTAGTGCCTATGTAAATTCCACGCTTACTGAAGCTGATGAAAAAGTTTATCCTGCACCTGCCAATGTAAATGATGTTTTGAAATCAGTAAAGGAACTAAGTGATTCCGCCTTAAAAGAAGCAACACCGAAAATTTTGGGTCAACATGTAAACCCTTATACATTCACTAAACATTTGGCAGAACATGAAATCGCCAATTCATCTTTATCTGCTGTTATCGTACGTCCCTCTATGAGTAAGTGGAATTTTGTATATGTTGTATAACAATATTAAAAAATGGCCCTATCTATAAAAACGGTTACTTCGTTCACTCATGTCATTATTGTATTTGGAAGGCCACCATAAGTATTAGTATTAAATACCTGCTGGCAATAAGACTCACTAATTCTATTTATGGATAAGTATAAGATGTTATTCGAATTATGCGTGTTCGCAACAGATTGTACTTCTATTAATATTAAACGTTTTACTTTACGCGTGTGGAGAGCTGTTATGTAAGGCAGATATCTTATGCAAATAAGATACGACGATTTTACAACATATTTCTTCATAATCATTATAGTTACTGCAGCGTGGAAAGAGCCAGTCCCGGGATGGACAATATCAAAAAATGGTCCACAAGGTTTCCTTATGGGAGCAAGTAAAGGAATTGTAAGACGTCTACCTGTGGCTACAGATCTGATATATGATTACATTCCAGTAGACATTGTCGTAAACAGTTTAATAGTTGCCGCTTACAGTGTCAACAATTCAGGGTAAAATAATTTGATCTACATTTAAAATATTTGTATTTCAAGCTACTATGATTATTTTCATTGTAATCACAATGACTTTCCTCTCAAAATGCGCCATTTCTTAATACTATATTTCATGTACCTGTTATTTATTTCAGGGGTGATGGTGTTAAGGTCTATCATTGCACATCGAGCACATGTAATCCTTTCAAATGGGAATCTGTTGAGCATAAGATCAATAGTTATCTTCATAAATATCCACTGCGCAGTGCAGTTTGGTATCCGCATTTGAAGTTATTGCCTTCATTACTATTATTCAGAATCTCTGCATTTTTCTTTCATATGATACCAGCCTATATTTTGGATACGGTCACTAGAATATCAGGTGGTAGACCCATGTAAGTGCAAATAATCGATCACTATTGCATTTTACAATTACATTTCAGGATGTAAGAGTCAAGGATTCTGTGAGCATAAAATACAACCATTTTTTTCACAGCAATGAATGCATTGCTGATTGCTTTAACAAAGTCATTAGTTATAACAGCTTAAAAGTTCTCATATAAAAAAATAACTTATAATTTTATTTGGACAAATGCTTCATCGACGATAAAATTACTTGATAATGTCTAATTGTTTTTTTTGTTTGTGTTTATTTCATTATAGACTTGTACGTTTACATAAAAATGTTAACAAATCTCTGAACCAGCTAAGCAAATTCATTTTCACCGAATGGAAGTTTCACAATCCTCGTATGCTGGAATTGCACGAATCGCTGTTACCAGATGACAAGCGCACGTTCACGCTAGATGTCAGACCATTAGTCTGGGAAGATTATTTTGTAGATCTTACACAAGGAGTTAGGACTTATTTGAATAATGACCCTCCGAGAACTTTACAAATGGCTCGCTCCAAGGATAAAGTGTAAGTATCAAGAATTATATGGTCCTATCAAGCAAAAGAAGTGCAGTTTCATAGACGATGTCTTAAGAGACAAAGATTTTATATTTTTTAAGAATATTATAGGCTTTGCACGAATAGTTTCAATTCATTTAGTGTAATTCTTAAGGAATATCTAGCAACAGTAATACATATTTTCGTAAACAAATTATCAATGGCATCTAACCAATTGTATATTTCAGACTACTGGTTGCACACTTGGGATTACAGACTGTGTTATTTGGTTTAGTATGGTGGATCGTTAAGATAATGCTGGATTCTACATGGTCAAAAACTGGTTTAGTTCTACCATTGACATACGTTCTATTCGACCAGCTTTAAACTGTTAAGTCATGATAATCGGACTTTTGATTTTTGTTTCTTGTTATTGTAAATAGCAGTAATACAACGATACTTTGCATCTCTTTGAAAAAACTATTTACAGCATATACAACAAAATGATATTCACAAAAATACTATCATTAAACTTTTCCTTATGACTTTTGTAAGATCTAAAATCAATTTGTTCGTTGACTTTGTAGAATTTGAAAGATTCAATATGTTTCGTTGACTAAATATTCGCGAATGTAATTAAACGCACCAGAGAAAACTGTTGTTATAGATTGATTGTTTTAGTTATTACAATTTGGTATAAAGCAACTTGTTTGCACCTCATATGGTTCTATAATAACATACAGCAGTTCTAGAATATGATATTAATATAATTACAGTATAAAGTATAATGTAAATTCTCAAAGTATTTCATTAACAATATAATATTTTTTTGTCAAAAAATGATGTCTGCTAAACAATAATAAGAAAAAGATGAGATAAGGTAAATTTAATGCAATAACTATATGCTTGCACAGTATTGCTTAAAGGGTATACATTTTAAACACTATGTCTGGTATGTCTTTAATGATTTTTACTCATTACTTAATTCAGTCTAATGATTTAAATAATTAGAGTAATAAAGGTAATATAGTTTATAGAAAAATAGCATTTTTTATTTTTCCGTTAATCTTAAATACATTTTGTATTATTTACTATCATTATATACCTTTATTATATCGTGGTCTCTGACCTGAAATAAGAGGATTAAATAAAGTTCTTACTTTTGAATATTCCATTGAGCTCAAATTTAATTTCCCGCCATGTCGTTAAAAATTTTCGATTAAATGTAAGATGCATTTTTTAATAATAAATATATGCTATACAAGGTCTAAATAGAGATGTTCTATATCTTATGAAATCTTCCCATACATAGTAAATACTTTGTACAAATGGTTTATGATGAAACACTGAGAGTGAAAGTTGCAGATGATGCTTGAACTATTGAAGAAGAAAAAACCGTGTCATACCTTTATTATGTCTACATACATATACATATATGCAATAGATCAAGAATGTACTTTTGTTTTGAATGAAACCCATATATTGAGTAGAGACATTGAATTGATGCTCGTTTTCTAAGTCTGACACAATCTTTAATTCATTCAAAATAATATATTACGTCATACATTCTTAAGAAATTTGGAATTCGTGCTAAACGTATCGTTCATAATTCACGCTATTAAGAATTTGATTAATACATTTGTAAAAAGTTTTCATGCAAACTTGATTTCTTTCGAATACAAAAATAGTTGTAGTATCCAAGTTTTATTGAATACTGTAATTTTATTGTTATCCGTATTATTTCTCTAAATCTTGTGTTCGAGTTTATAAGAGCAAAAATCGTAGCACTCCTCACGAAGAATATGAATTGCTTGTTTCTAATAGATGTTGAAAAATAACAATTAACAAGTAAAGGAAAAATGTATCACCCATGAAATAATGAATACTGCAAGAGACCTTCCTGTGGGACTGCATTTACAGATCATCAACCTACCTAACCTCGTCCAATGGCTACGTACGACCCTGAGAAGAGCAGGGCAACCACACACAGGTTTGGATATCCATGACTATATGTCGGTGTCCCGACACAAAGGCTCAACATATGAACGAACATGACTGCCGTAGACGCAGTCAACATAAAAGAATTCTCCAGACGGTTGTAGCAAACATTAGTCAGTAGCGAACTATTTCGACCTCTTTAAATTTCGCGCATATGAACGCCACGTTATAGAAAACAATTAGTACATTTAAATTTGCCCAATCAATCGTTCCACCCCAGCCACGCAGCTGCCGTTGTCAATTTTGAATGTTTTATAATAATGTAGTGCTACAAATTTATGCAAATTAGCGAAGTGTTTCTGTGATCTTAATCGTTTATTTGTTGCGATTGAATTAGCTGATGCTTTTCTTTTGAATTTGTACTGATTTGTACATTACTACCCACCGCCAGTCACTCTTCGATCGCTTCAGTGCCTTGGTGATCGTTGGTCGGTTAACTTCTATAAGATTTCACTCTCTTCTTTATTTTAGAGGAAATACGGCAAAAAAGTCAAAGAAGTTGAAAATTTATCTGTCAATCGGTATCCTATTGGTGGGAGTTTGTTTCTGATTCATCAATTTTGTTGGACTGCCTTTTTCAAATCTATCGTAAGAACTGGTCAGTTAGAACTGACCTTGCTAAGTGATCACATCTTTGGAGAAGAATCATGACGGAAGGTTAGTGATATGTGTTATATTAAAAACAGATATTTATATTTTATTTAAGTAACATTCATTCGGAAACTTTGGCGCTGTTTTATTGTTCTAAATTTACAGTTCTTGTAACATTTTGCCGACGTTGTATAATTTAAATTTGAAATTTTGTTACTTGATTCGATTCATTTCTTTGTTCAAGCGGTATCTTTGTATGTTGATTACATAAATTTTTATATCAATAAAATAAAATCAAGATTTTGCTTGCGGATATGGATACTTAAATTACTTTTGCACTTTTTATATGAATTTTTGGAAATTTAATATCATAATGTCCCGGAACTACAGTTAAAGTGAATTTCAATTCACCTGATTCTTATACCCTCATTCTAAAATAACACAATCGCACAGATTTGATGAAACACATTTCATGTACAATCCTTTCTCCAAATCCGTTATTACCAATTAATAGTCACTTTCAAGTAATATTCATTCGCATGCGAGTAGCATCAATCGTAACATGGCACATATAAAGAAAAGGCAAATCTTACAAAGAATAATAATACATGTGCAATCGAAAAGCAGAAACTACATAATCCCAAACTTATTACCATCACAATATAATTTTATTTCAATTTTCAGTTATGGTATCTCCAAAGTATAATTACGAATCATTGCACAACATTCAAATAATTATGTTTCATAATTTTTACAATTTCTTTTTCTGACCCACTTTCCACAAAAGCAATTGGCCTTACGTTACAATATCCTCATATATCTCCTCTTTTTTAGCGAATTTATCCACTGACACTGTACCTTCAATATCTGAATGGTTTCGAAAGAGAAATGTCCTTGTTACCGGTGCCACCGGATTTATGGGCAAGGTTCTGCTAAGTAAACTGCTTTCAAGCTGTCCGGAGATTGGACAAATATTCATATTGGTCCGTGAGAAAAAAGGCGTCGATCCTGGATCCAGATTAACATCAATAATACAGGTGGGAGGAATTTCTCGTTAGGCATTTTATTATATTTATTTTTCCTTGAATACACTCATATATATCCGTACTATGTCTCTCTTGCCTCGACTAGCATTACGTAGGCTAATTTCTTCGTAATGACATTGAAACTAGGATTTGCGATATACCTAGAATTTCAAGGAACAACTAAGAGATAAATAAAAGATAAAATATACATAGAATTACGAATCATTGTCAACCAACATGTACATAAAGCAAGTATCAATGCACTTGTAGATAGTGTATGCTAATATCAAAAGATTTATGTCGATCAGTATATAGATTACATTATTGTTAACCAGATTTCTTATAAAATATCTTAGCCTTACCTTGGTCTTCCATATAGGATTATTTATCACTATAGGAGCTAATGTAAATTTTACTTACTTCCTACGTCTATACTGTGTCGAACATCAAGGTCCGCTCTGTTACTGTAATTAAAGAAAGTTTCTGTAACCCTTTAATACTAATTGATAATAAACTTCACCAAAGGGTTTAGAGATTAACTATTTTGAGTTGTTCGGTCGTTCGGCTATTTCCAAATTTTTTCGTATTTCCATTGATACCTCATTCTCATAAATTAAGGGAAGCTATTAATGTTGAAATGACATAACCTTTCCAGGAAATAAAATTTATGCGGCAATCGAAAGTACGCATTGTATATATTAATCATAACAATTTCTAATAATTTTCAAATAGTATTATATGTGAATTTTAATAGATTTTTTTATTGGACGTTTTAGAGCTCGATTTTTATGTTTTAAGTAAAAGTGAAAGCGCGCGCACAATGGATTCAATGCACGCAAGTATAGGCCTATGTTGCGTGGATAGATTCCATCAGATTCTCATTATTAGAAAATTATTAGGAGCCTCTATATCTATCGAATGTATTTGTACTTATATAATACCAATAACTGTTATAAGCGTACTTATCTTCCTGGTATCAGGTTCTGGTTTTTGGTTTCACAAAAAATAGTGTGTCTACCATGTATTTATCTCACAGTATGTTATTTTGACATATATCAGTAGATAAAATTAATGCAAATTGAGTGATTCATTCATGATTTACCTAAAATATAAAACTTTATATATAACGATGAAACACAGGGCGCAGTATCACACTTTTTGTGACGTACATGCAAAATAGGGATTATAGGCAAAATGTGTACAGTAATTTATTTTTAAATTATCAGAGACTCTTTAGTATCGTGAAGTATTCGGAAATGGTCCTTCAAATTTGATCCATTCTTACCGGTTGACCATATATGTATGTAGGAAAGGTGATTCAAGGAATTAATACCATCATAGCAATTTCAAAAATATTTCATACTTACTCTACCTTCAACTAATTCTATGGGCAGTCATCGTGTCTTGCCAGGCCAGTGTCACCCCACCTTCCGTTACATATACACCTTCGCGTATGCAGAGATAATTAAGATTTTATTGCAAAAGTAAAATTTTTTTATTTCACAACCTTGAAGAATACATCCAACGGAGCATATATGCATACACATTTGTTAGCAGATCTGTTTCTCTTGGGTTTTCCCCTTCATGTGTAAACATATTAAATCGGATGTCGTCGTCACCTTCTTATTTCGTTGGCCAGGAATTCCCTTCACGTTCTACGTCTGACTATCATGCGACCAATGTGCGTTTATGTTCACATTAAGAATGAGTAGATGAGAAAGAAAAAAAATCCAGATCTGCGTATTTATTTTGGACCATACATAATGATGCATGCAAAAAAAGCATCCTACTATAGCTTTTATGTGTAAGTAAACAAATAAATAAAATTTTATTTTTTGTTGACGAAATATGAATAGACTTCATAATTAGATTTTGAAAAAGTTCTTCCAATTACACATATAGATGGATTTAACCTTGATGTCGACACACGAATGTTACGATTACGCAATCGAATCAATTTTACCTTGAAGCTAACTCTATTAACACTTGTTTTTAAATTGTATTCTTCTGCTCATTTTTTAGAAATCTCATCCTGTATTTTTTGTTCGAAGTGTTACTTTTATACCACGTCAATGCGTATTTGAGTTGCGATCGCCTTTGGAATTTAACATACAGGAGTCCATTATAAGATCTCAGACTCTATTTGAGGCTAAAATCTTATTTGAAACATATAACAATGATTTATAAGAATACTATTGATCTTTTTTAGGAAGAACCATTTCGTTTACTTCGTGAAAGTAATCCGGAAAGATTGAAGAAATTATTTGTTATTTCCGGCGACACAACAACCGAAGGACTGGGTCTCTCAACTGCGAACAAGGAAATTCTTATTAATGATGTATCGGTAATCTTCCATATGGCAGCGAACGTTAGATTCGATTTGCCGTTAAGAACAGCCATTAATATGAATACCAGAGGGACGGCTAATGTTTTATCATTGGCGAAGCAGGTACCATTTATTTATGTTAAATAACTAATGCTATTATTGTTTCTACAATGTCAGCAAGAATAATCCCACACAACGCTGAGATGTTAGAAATACGTCATACAGACATCGTCAATCTCCTTACTGACCATGTCATCGGCCATGTACCGGCACCATACCGGCGCACTCAACGGTTGGCTTAAGCCGCGAGAAGCCTATGGTTATTTCTCGAAGGCAACATAACTTATTCAAATGACACAACAATGAAAGTTAGACGCACTAGATATGACGCGTTCATTGACAGGTTAAAAAGCATTCAATGAATGTGTGTACTTTAAACAAAATGTAGATAAATAAGATAAAGCAAACACTCTATTGCCGATTACACGCGTGTACGGCTCCGAAAAGGTATTTTAGTTCATAACTATAAAATATATAAAAATACTAATAAATGGTAAAAAAAGAACAAAGGACAACATAAATGCCGACATGAAAACGACATTCTAAAGATGTCATACTGCATCGTGTTTAAGAACGTCTGCATAAGACGTCTACCGGATATAATACACATAGCATTTTTCAATCGGACATCGGTAGAACATTGCAGACGTAATTCGAATGTCGTTCGATGGTTCTGTGTTGTGTGGGATATACCGGATGAACCCTCTAAAAGTAATTACAGAAGTTCAGTACTTCAAGTACAAATTATATACGCGTGACAACCATAGTGAAAAATTTGACAGATAGAAAGCTTATATCTGTTATAAGGCAAGGCATAAGGTAGTAAATACATTAAAAGAAGGTTTCTCGAATCATAAATTACAAGGATGTTATTTTCCTCTATTTACTTATGTGGGGGTAGCAAAGACGTCATTGCATGGGTTATCTGAATTATTTTTTTTTTAGATTTCTCAGCTCCAAGCATTTATTCACGTGTCAACGGCCTACTGTCAGTGCGGTCAAGCAATTCTAGAAGAAAAGGCATATTCAACACCAATACCACCAGAGACTGTATTATCAACAGTGGAACATTTGGATGATGATATGTTGGAATTAATGACACCAAAACTACTGGGTGACCAGCCAAATACTTATGCATTCAGCAAAGCACTCAGTGAAGATCTCGTTGCAAGATCTGGTCTGCCAATTGGGGTTGCAAGACCATCAATAGGTACGTTTTACATTAAGAAATTACAATACTGTTTTATCAATAGCTTCATGTCAATAATATTATATTTATGTTTAATAATGTGACCGTAGTTGTTGCCTCCTGGAAAGAACCTGCACCAGGTTGGGTGGAGAACATGAACGGACCAACTGGGCTGATGATAGGTGCTGGTAAAGGTGTGATTCGATCGATGCTCTGTAACAAGGATTACCTGTCTGACTTTATACCATGCGATCTCGCTGTGAATGCTATAATCGCATTAGCGTGGAGCGTCGGACTCGAACAACCTTCCGAGCCCTTCTTCATGAACGTTACTGAGAGTGGCGAGAATCCTATATCGTGGGGATGCGCATTGGAGACAGGAAGAAAACACGCTCTCACATATCCTTTCTCAGGTTCTTGAGTTTATTTAGACATAGTTTATAGTAGGCTTGCATTTTTAGTCCCCTGATTCTGCTTAACCGTACGACAGCTATTATGTGAAAGTAGACAGTGCTTAGGCGCTGGTGCATTGTAAACTAGTAACTTTCATTCTTGCGAAGTTTTAGGTACATTATGATATGTAGTACATAGTTATTTAATAAATTACTGTGATTTCAGGTCCTTTGTGGTATCCTGGTGGACGTTTGACATCATCTAAAATAATTCATTGGTTCGTGATTATCTTCTTACATACAATACCCGCGTATCTCTTGGATGCTTTGTTCATTATTACTGGGAACAAACCTTTTTTGGTTAAAATACAAAGCAGAATTTCTTCGGGTTTGGAACTGCTTCAGTATTATACTACGAAAGAATGGATATTTCGGCAAGTATTGTTAAGATTTATTGCCATTATAATTGCTGAATTCATAGTCATAGACATATATGCGATGACCCATTCGTTTATTTCGCTTAAAATATCTTTATACGTGATCGCTTCGTCATCTTCCTGAATGTAAATTGGAGGTCGAAACAAAGGAACTACAGGACTTGGCAAATAATACAGTCGTCGGTACACACTCGTATAAGGAGGGCCGGGCAGGGAGGCTGATTTTGGTCCTGGACGGAATTCATAAGCGACAACGTCATTCTGAAAGACTCATGTCAAACCGATCAAAATAAGGAAAATGTAGCCATAAAATATATCGGGAAAGTATTTTTGTCGGGTCTTAAAATGCATCTGTGGGCACTGCACAGGAGACGCACAAGGACACTGATATATTGTCTATTTGACTTTACTTCTTTCGTCATCTGAATAAATCTTTTTGCAAATTGTTTCGAAAATGTCACTAAGTAAAGAAATATTCGAAAAATAGTAAGCGTATTTTAAATGCTATGCTACTGTCATGACATGACTGCATAAATCAACAGTACAAGTTCCGCTACGACGTCTACAATAGTTTGCTGCTATTTCATCCATTCCGCTTTGAGATTTACAGAATAAAGCATAAACCAAGTATCTATTTGATTTAGAATGTTAGGTTAGGCAAGCTTAAAAAGTTTCAAATCGTTTGACGTATCTTTACCTATGGCCGAGTGTAAATAACCTGTTTAAGCTATCTTTGTGTGAATTCTAAAAAAAAAATTTTTAATAATTTCTCACGAATTTTCGAAGCAAAGTTATCGTTTTATTAATCAATCCAGGAAGGATACATAGTACGATGTTCTTGGAAGGCAAGGAATGAAGTTCAAGGTTCATTAAAAAAATATAATTAAGTGTTTGTAGCATTTGACCTTGTGTAAACCACAACGAAATATAATTATATAAGATTTCATGAATAATTGAAGGTACATATTAATTATTGTCTATTTTTTATTTACAGAAATGACCGGTTGAAGGATATGCAACAACGTTTAAGATCTTCTGACAGGGAGATATTTTTTATGAACACTAAGGATATTTGCTGGGATGACTACATCCTGAATTACATCCTCGGTACAAGAAAGTATTGTCTTAAAGATGATCCCTCGACCTTACCTCAGGCTAGGCGTGTATTTGCTTACTTATACGTTGCCGATTTGTTTGTCAGGATTGCCTTTGGAATACTTATCGCTTGGCTCGTTTATTCCTGGATAATACCGTTTAAAGCCACGTCCAGTACTTTCGTTGAAGTTAATGAAATCTGACTCTTTCACTAAAGTAAAAAACTTGTATGTAACGAAGCTATGCAAAGTTGTGAGAAGTCACACCTAAGTGGGCCAAGAAATTAGACTTTAGAAAAGTATTAAATTCTACTCAATAAAATAATGCCATATGTATATTATATATACATGTATAATTTTTGGCACTGTTGTTTCTATATCATAGATATATGTAAACTGTTACATAAGAATACTTACAGTTACATGAAAATGATATTACTCGTCGATTTCATAAAATATTCCAATTGACGTATTTCAGTGTCAATTTTATTAAAAATTATGAACTATACTGTATTTTAATTCTTATTACTTTTTTATCACTATAATGTATTCAACAAGTGATGTGAAAAATATAACAGTTGCACTACGTATGTGTGTGATGTTTAGTGTTCTGCAATATAGTCAAGGACGTCTTAGCGATACTCTATAAGCTTGATTAATTTATGCGTATCTCATGATAAACATAAAATATTTTGGCGCGCTAAAAATTCCGTAACAAATGTTCAATTTCATAATTCGGCTGTTTTAGATTTCTTTTTAAATTCGACAAGGTAAAAGCTATACTTTTATACTATATATTTTCAAGTTTGAAAAATTTTACCGTACACTTCAGTAAAAACTGACGTATCATGCTTACCTTTCAGGATGTTTTCGTGAATCGTTCTTAAATATATAGGTAGTATGTTATGAAATCTCATGATGTCCCGCAGTTACCATGAGGTTTACGGTAATTTTTAATGAAAAATTTTCTCCGTGTAGGTGAAAGGTTAAGGGTCAGAAACTTAATTTTTATTATAAGAAAGTTAGATAAAAATGCTGTCCTAATATGTAATTTGAGCACTAAAGAATAGTTAACATTCTTCACCTACCATCTAACGTACTTTATAAATTAATCGTTGATATCGCCGTATCAGTATTTACTTAAAAGTAATAGGTCATCAACGTAGATCGCACAAAGAGGAATCGTAGGTAGGCACTACGTCACAAGTTAAAAAAAAACATTAGATTCCTGGGATCCTGAAATGTCGAAATCACTTTTCAGTGGACTCGACTAGCTTAGCTGCTGCTGCGCACGAAAGTAGACTTGCGTCACAGAATAGAGGTCGAACTGCTTTGCGCTAACGTTGTTACGTTTGTGAAACGTCCATTTCTAACTGCATAAATATAGTTACTGAATGAATGGTATTATGAAATTTTTAATAGGTTAATATTAGGTGGATGTCAACGGTTGTACGAAATATTCACAAACCATATAACCAGTATGTTTATTAATTAACTGATAGTATACAGGAGACTTGAAACAGAAGATTTGAATTTTGTAATTTATCAACATCATATTATTATGCCACTTGTATATGAAAAAATACAAAATTCGGTGAAATGCTACAAGAAGTGTCATCAGCCAATCCTCATACAGTTCCCTCGTTTATACGTATATGACATGTAATTATTGTTACATGACTAAGTGTATATAATTTATTAATAAAACATGTAAACTAAGATCTAAGTGAATCTTTGATGTTGAAACTCATAGAAAGATCTTGATAACACATGTTACACGTGGATGAACCCTACCTATAGTTTCTACGAAACGGTCCTTTGCTTCTGCTACTTGCGATAGAGGGTCTGTAGTTAGTTTAGAGAAAGTGACTCTGATTCAGGTATTCCGCATGTGGACGCGAATGCTCTAGCTATAAAGTACCAAATTAAATTTTCTGTTTAGAACTTACGTTTCTTTTGATGTAGTTTGTAAATCTTTTCATTTTTAACATATATAAGTTTTTAAAATCCATTGACATAGTGTTAAAATGTCGATGGAGTATTAACGAGTGTTAAAGTAATATAATTATTAAGTATAATAATTAATGAAAAAAATATATCCTCAGTAATAAAATTTCATTATAGCAAAGATTCAGTGATAAGATAAACATTACTTACAGTGATCATTAAGTAATATGATAAGTAATAAAAATGCTTCTCAAGGATCGTAACTTTATTTACCTATGACCAAGTTTTTTATCATAAAACCCCGCTACATATGTATTACTTAAAATTCAAAGTACACGCAGGTCGTGCATACACTATATGTCTTATTTAATAATTAAGCAAGGAATTTAATTTTTCGATTGACTTATATAATTTTTTAACATTGTGATCTCTCGCCACTGACGTGGACAACTTTCGTGGCCAGTAATGTAACATACGATTTACCAAACTCACAAAGGCGTACAAATTTATAGAAATATTGAGTTTAACATACGATACCTTTTAGATAAAATATATACTAGTCTAAACGTATTTCCATCCTTGACATTATCCCAACGTGCACTCTCAAATAGAAGAAATAATCAACCCACCTTAAATTAATGGATATTCCATGCATTGTTGTGGGAAGACAGTTCTACGAATAAAAATAATGAAAAATAAAATTAATGTATTATACGAGCATGCAAAAATCCTGAGATTATCCTTAGGCATTGGCTGCAGACTGTGATGTAGGAGGTGAAGAGAACTATAAAGATCTATTCCGGAGTGGGAATTACTGGGCTATGTCGAAAGTTGTACAGCCCTGAACTGCTTGCCGATGAATGTCCAGTGAACATTGGGCGCGTTACGTTCTCAGTCTGGAACGGACTCACCATCTGATCAGATCAGGTGAAATATAAATCTGAGTTGTACTATAGTATAGAAAATTTTCTATCAACAGTCCACAAAAGACTGAGGATTTTATCAGATCAAGCGACCTGTTTTGCGAAGTGCATTCATTTTTTGGATATTTCATAACGTTGGGAACTTTCGAGAGGTAATATTATAAATTTGTAAGTGTATATGATATTTGAAATATGGAGATTCTTGAAAAAATTGTTCAATAATTTGCCGGTTTAAAATGCGGCGATTTAAACTCTTTTTTTGTCTACAATTATATAAATCTGCCATTGATTACTATCGTTTGATTATTATCTTAGCGTGGACTGAATTTGTGTTATTATGATTGATGTGCATAATTTATAAAAAATAGATAGACGATAGTAATAGATAGAAGATAGATCTATATTCGTATAGATACTATTGAATTTTATAACTGGGTTCCAATGGTAGTTCTTTGTGAATTTGTTTTCGTTTTCGGGAAATTCTTATTCACTTCATTTATTCGACGTTCTTTTGTAATTCACTCGATATACTGCTTCTATTGCCTGAGAGGCAATCTGTTTTTTTCATGCAAAAGTCATGAGAGTGAGTGATTTTTGTATTACTGAAATATAACTTTAATTAGTGAAGTTACAGCAGTATCGATACTCAGCTGTTTCGACCTATCGATTATGGTAACATTTTCTGCTCTCTAAATATAATCAAATTTATTGGATTAAGAGGTTCGATTATTCTGGAAGAAAAAAGAAATTATACTTAATACAGTTTTGCCATTGGATTACAATCTTATCGTATATATTTTCTAAGAAAAATATTTATCAGTTATAATGAAGAGTAACGTGAACAGATTTTATTTGGCTAAATTAAAAGAAAAAAAAACTAACAATAAATCAAATGTATAATTTCATTTTCAAAACAATTCACATGCAACTCAAGTACATGAAATCGTATTTGTTTTTATTATGTAAAAGTTGAAAGTGAGATGTGCAAAACTACTGAAGAAGTGTGTCAATAACTACGTGGTAGAATCGAGTAAAACATTTTTAAAAATATTCTCTATAAAAAACACAGTGTTGCAAAAATTTATATAGAAAAATTTGCAAAATTAAAAAAAAATACCTTCACTTGGTTCCATGTAAATTTGACGTTATGCAGAGCTGGCAAGTTATTTGCGACTTTGTATAATCAGTTTGGTCAACCAACCAGAAACACATTACGTGTATAGTAACAGCAGTAAGAATTTAGTTGAAACAAAATTTCATAAAAATATCATTTCACGATTAATGGTTTGCCAATAATATCCAGGAAAACAATTCTTTCCACAATTTCTATTACGCGACAAAAGTCTCTAGAGCAACCACAATAGAAACATCTATACCAAAGTAGTGAAAGCAAATTGATAATTCAGAAGAAAAAAAAAGTAGCAGCATTCACCGGACAAAGAATCGATGAACACTCCTCGGAATCAGCCTGAAGTTAAATTCGAAAAATTTTCATGGGACATGAGGTTCTTTAAATGTTTTGCCCTAATACATCAGTCACCATCAAAAGTGCTCGAGGATTAATTTTCAGCTAAGTGATTGCGAACGGCTCGGGAAAACATATATTCAAAGACTACAGAATTCCTAAACACAAAAAGAAATTGGTAAAACTAAAAATTAGAGTAACTAGACAAAAAGAATACTCAAAATCATACACCCCAAGATGAAGTTCGAATTTTACCCGACTGTCTACTAAAGTTTCTCATGTCGTAACTTGCGATGCAAGCAGTCGTCCTCCACCTGCGTAGCTCTCCGCCTGCTAACCAGTTTTGCCTTACTGAGCAATAAAAACAAAAGTACCAAGTTGGAGCAAAAAGTTACAACGTCAATGGTTGCGTGACTTTCGTTCGAGTTCAATTTTTCGTGTATTTTCCTATTGATCAAAGTGTAGTTTACCTACAGCATCTTCAACTTGATTTCCTTGTATTTTAAACTCTTGCACAACCCCGACTGTCAATTATTCAACACAAAAAAGCAACAGTAATATCGTACGTTATGAGGATATACTCGATGAATAAAATTAACCTAGAATTAGCTTCCTTTGTTCAGGTAGTCTTCCTACGTCAATCGATCGTAACGCAAGTATAACCTCTTGATAATTATATTTCTTGGTTAACCTTATATTTACGTAGCTCACACGTTTCTCTGCTGGTCCGACATCTATGTATTACGCTGCATTTTCTTCGTGCAGTTAGGTCATAATATTACACTCACTTTGCCCTCCGAATTAGCCGACAATGGCGAATTTGTAAATTGATGACAATTTCTTTAATATATTATAATTATTTATTGGCACGGCTGAAATATAGAGTTTTATAAACCATCAATTGTGTGCGGATCGTCGGTATCTTTTAGGTAAATTAAATTTGCGATATATCATTGTGATTTTATATAAGAAAATTCATCAGTGATAAAACTTAGATATTCCTATGAATGTGACGTTTGAAAAGGGCGACAATAGATTTATGTACAGCAAAGGTTATTTTGTACTTGGTAGTGAAGCTGCAATGTTAACTTGTAACTATATTATTACATACGATTATAAAACCGATAGTGACATAACGACTACTATATTGCATACTTATATATGCTCATTTGAATATTCTAGTAGCATTTGAATAACATTTTTTTCGATACATATAACAAGATCAGTATTTCATAGGAAATAAAAAAAACTGAATAATAATAAATGTAGTTGTTATTCGTGACAATATGTATGACATGTTTTAACATAAAAATATTAATTTCTATACTTGCAACGTTAATCTTGTAAAATCGATGATACGTGTGATTTCTGCATACGAATTGTGCAGGTTTTTATTTGTATTAATAATACAAATGAAATTAAAAAACTTTTAATACAATTATTTCGAAAATTTCATAATTTTATAAATTGATTCGTTCAAGTAAAATAGAATGTTTGTTATGGTAAACAGTATTGGATAAAAATTCTTGTAAGTCGTTAGTTGATTTTAATCATGATACTCCAGTCTTCCATGTCAATTAAGATTTTACAGAACAACAACATCCATTCCATGTAATCAGTCGATTGACCATACTACAGTTAACTGTTCATTATGCTAAATCGCGCATGCATTATTTCTTGTTCAGCGAAGTGGAAATGACGTTCCTATAAGAAGCTAATTTTTCAAAAAAATTAGATCGAATTTCCGACTAACAAAATTGCAAAATAAAATCCCATAGCAATGCATACTGGTACCTTAAGGTTAATCAAGATGTGATAACTGTAATCGTGCATCTGTAATGTAATTTAAAAAATATTAAAATACATTTTTTATATTCTATTTTCAGTACAACGAAAATCAAACCTGTGATCCGGTAATTGTTTTCCGGCAATATGACAGAAACGAGCATGGAGGATCTACCAGACAGAGTAGCAGAGGCTTTCAAGGGTCGTGAGATTCTGCTCACCGGTGGCACAGGTTTTTTAGGGAAAGTAATGGTCGAAAGATTTTTACGAACTATGCCTGACGTTGGAAAAATCTACATACTCGTCAGACCAAAGAAAGGAAAAGATCCCAAGTATCGTCTGGAAGAAATCTTCAATTCTCCCGTAAGACTCTCTTTCTATTATTTTCACTGAATACTTTATCTTCATACGACTATGACACACGTAAATGTCTTTTGCATGATGGCTGATCATAATGACGCTTAACGAACCAATAAAATATGTCATACACGTCATGTCTATTTGTGCATCTTTTACCAGGAACATTTTTCCATCTCACTGTGCTAAAAAAAGATTCTTAATTTCGGTCATCGTATCGACAAGAGAAAGTAAATTTGCAGCCAAATATGCACAACCTGTCAATCTGTAATGGTGTACACGTCATTACATGAGTCATTGAAGTTTAATTACAAAAGTATATATGTATATCTTCGTTTGCCAAAAAGATACTTTGGAGATACGAAATATCAAGGGGCGTTCACAATAGCAAGGCAATGTTTTTTTTTTTTAAACTATTACCTTGGCACATCCCAGCATTGGAGTTCTGACCTAATCTAACCTAACGAAACATATCTAAGCCCATCACAAATACTGGATGCCTAACATTGAAAAAAATATACACAAATTTGGTAAGACAATCCGCTTTATGGTCCTCAAAACAGTCATTACACTAGAAAAATCTTTGAGAAAGGTCCCCAAAATAGCCACTTGTCCTCAGAATAGCAACTTCGTAAATGAAATCGTCCCCAAAGTATATATACGTAGAGTGAAATTCCGAATTATTGAATTTTCACTAATAAAATATGGATAAGATTTTATTGACTGCTATGATATTCTCAAAATTAGCGTCAGACATTCATCCTCATATGCGATCATGCGATCGGTAATCTCGTCAGTGGTCCATAAAATATATCAGTAAACACAATTCTCAGCATCAATGATTATATTCTGTCAAAGTGAAGGGAAAATATAGTAACGTATGTCCAATATGAAATTGCTCGTGTATCAGGTCTCAAGTGGTTAGTTTATGGAGATATGAAAATTGCTTTGGTGAATAAAAAAATCAAAGAGCGATATTATCACGTGTTACTAGTTTTGATTATTATCTTATTCGATTTTTATAAAGGTAATGTGTGAATTTTGAAATTTACCGGAAATAACAGCCTTAGTAATATCCTGATTGGAGATTGCAAACCTTCTGAGATGCCCTGGAGTCGTGCTTAGTAGAAACAGAGTCAAGGACGTTCTGTAACTCAAGGGAAAAAATGATCATCTAGTGAAAGTATCTCTCGACGTTATTATGTCACATCTTAACTGTCTGCTCTAACGCAACGTGCGTTCATCAAAGATAGGGAGAGTTACGCTGTATACCGGAGTAACAAGGCCAGCAGGTCATATGAATTTCCCTTTTACACGAAACTTCCAAAACCTGCGCAAAGTCATTTTTCGGTCTTTTAACTGTTAGCGAAGACTTTCATATTTCCTATTAGAATTATGGTATTTCGTTTTCTTATGTAATATATCGCGTTTCGTATATCCTATTAATTTTCTAGCTGTTGGTACTTTCAAAAATTTAATTTAAACACTGAATCGACGGTGATCAAAGAACAAATGTAAATTCGAGTATAATTCAATTTACATACCACTGCTTTACCATTTGTAGGTATTATAGATTTCAAAAAATTCACGAATTTAATTTAATTTTTGATACTATGAATTATGTAATTAGAATTTTAAATCTTTATAACTGGTATAATGATACGTGGTTTTACTATATTGGCCATGCTCGATCCCTTCTGAAATCGAAAAAAAAGTGACCATGATCTTTTAAACGTAAAATGTCATGGAGTTACATTGCTTGAATTTGCATAATATTTTTTTCTTGTTAATCGATTATCTCTGACACGATATGCATAGATGTTATTAATCACTTTGAAGATCTCTGACCTCGAATGTCTATCAAAGAAGGTCTCCACGTGAATTCGTACGGCCTCGAAATTCAATCGAAGGCTAACTATCAAAAATTTTTAAACTCTGTAGGCATTGTGCGTAAACGCTCAATCGTTTAGCTGGAAACGTAAAGAGTTGAAAGTTGTAACTGGTGAGTCCCCGGGCGAGAAAGTCAGCCGACCACGTGGAATTTCAAGTATTTGTACTCGATGGGTATTAAATGATTTTAGAAACGAAAATTATAAACACCTATATATATGGGGAGCTTATGTAATGTCTTACTTAGTAAATCGTGGCTTTCCACAATATCGCTAATAAATAAATCGAAATATATATATAAAATATGTATGTAAAACAATATCATATATCTCAATGGAAAATCGTAAATATTCATAATTTTTAACAAAAATTGCATACAAGCCACATATAGCTCGTTAAAGACTGCATTGTTTTCCATCTGTCAAAATATATGTTGAATTCGTGAACCGACTATACGTAACTATGTTATACAGAAAAATGTGCAGATGACAGCCTCTTATAATTTATTTTTTCAGAATCTTATAATTTTTAAATAATTATTTTTATCATTTTCCCAAAATAAAAATAGAGGTGCATATTTTTCAATATTGAAAATATTATTTCAACATGCTTGTATATTGTGTCGGTTCTTTAACGTAAAAAGTTGGACATTACGTATGGCGAATAATTATATAGGTAACGTTAGGTATATTTTCGTATTTTAGGTATTTACAGTCGTAGAAACGTCATTTATCTATCTTTTGAACAGGAATTATGAACTTTAGATCAACTGAAATTAATATAAAGGGTGAATCACGAATCGTGATCAGTAGAGATTACTTTGTTATTAGCAGTCCGATCGAAAATGTTTTTATCAGCTTTTGCATGGTTTCAAGAGAGCTTTAACGTGATAGTGAAAAATTATTGGTCAACTCTTTTTTTAATGTTTTTTCAAGGTTACCTTGAATTTTTTGCAACCGAACATATAATTTTTTTACGCCTGTCTGTTAGAGAATTTCAAGACGAATTCGGCACATGTAAGGACATGACATTTTTTTCATCTGGTTCGAAAGAAAATTAAAAAACT